CTCATTGCTATAAATAAGTTCCAGAATATTGCTGTTTAGCATGTCTTCAATTTCCTTTCCAGCTATGTTTGTATCCTTGTAGCTCCAACTGGTGCAGTGGGCGTTGAAGTCTCCTACTACTATAGTTTTGTGTGAGATGTTCAGAAAGTCAAAGTTTGGACGATTCTGGGGAGGATTATAGACTGCATATATCTTGAATTGGTTTTGACATTTCCAAACATTTAATCTGATTATTTCACATTTGTCTTGTGTCGAGCCCATACTTTTGATTAGGTCGTAGTGTGAGGTGAGGCCTTCTTTTACTCCAGTTAGAATTCCACTTGCAACTTGCCGGTATTTAGGTAGATTGTACAGGGTGTAACCTGGGAATTGGTAATACTTCAGTTTGTCATCCGAAATGTTAGCTTCCATAATTGTGAAAATGTCCACATCATAGGTTTGTAGGATTTTCTGTATTTGGATCTTTTTGTCCGGAGACATTCCTCCAGCATTCCACTGGAGGATCTGAAGACGTTGTGATTCGCCCTGACGAGGGCGATTTTTCTTATAGCCTTTTTTAAAGCTAATCATAATTAATCGAAGTCAAAAACGTATGCCGATTGATAGACTTTTTTGCTGTAAGAAAATACGTTGTCCAGGGTGCACCACGAGGAGGTAAGTCTATCGCGCACCCCAATTTGAGATCAATGTAAACCTTTTAATTTATACTTTATAAAATTAAATATTTAAGAATGATTACGTAATACGTTAAGCTAATTTCAAGTAAAAGCCACAGAGATACACATGAAAGAAACTGGATTACCGTGAAAAGTTAATAGTCATCAAACTAAATTACCAACTGATTTTATTAACGTATAATAAAAGGATTTTAATGTTTAAAATGTAAAAAATGTAAACAAATTAAATTAATTCTGCTGATAATTATTAAATATCAATTATATTGTTTTTAGTTAACATTTTTATAAGCATACACTAATCATTTTCTGCATTTCTTTATTATTATCGTCCCATAGGCGCGCGGTTTGGTATTTTTGAATTCGAATACGATAATTGGGGCCATGGTGTCAACTTATACAGTAAGAAACGTGTATATTTTAGTGTTTTTGAGGTATTATTTAAAATTATTCCGTTATCACTTTTAAGCTAATATATTTTGACTACTCCAGGACTGCATTATATTACATATGCACGCCCGTGGATAATGTTCTTGTTTTCTCCTTTGAATTAATTAGATTTCGAATTACGCTAATTGTTATTCTCCCAAACTAAATGCAAATTTGGCGTCCTGAAAATTGCCCTTTTCTTTGATATTGTTTACTTGGAATCTTATGTCTTTACTGTTTTAGCGTTCCCATACTGAGCTATTTGCTCAAAAACTGGTCGATATGCTTCCCGGATCTTCTATGTCCAGGGCAATACTTCGAACCTTTGGAATAGATTGTGACGGAGACACGCAAACTCAAGGTAAACCACCTCAATTTTTATGCATAGGGGTTTTAGGTTCAAATGCATTGTCATGTCTTTCTCGAGCAGCCCATAGTGTTCCTGGTATCGTTAGACGCGCATGTAGCCCTCCTTCAGGCTTCCTAAAAAGTCACGTTTTAGATACTGAACGATCTAGGTCATACGATCGTTCAAAACTCTTTCCAGATCCCATTTTAACCAGTGTCTCTGCATCCCAAGAAAATACACCACCATCTTCAAAACGTCCTCTCATTCGTTCTGAGACTGTGGTAGCAACAGATCTTCCCATAGAAACTCCTATTGGTTCGAAGCGTCATCAAACCGTAACGTTCGAATCTCACGTACTTAGACCTCGGATGTCGGTTCAGCCCTACGGTGATACTAATAATAAAGCTGTAAAGTATTCAAACTTGCCTTCAACTCCTCTAAAATCTGTTGCGAATTCTGTTCATGTTTCGAACTCGGATTCTCTTTCCTCAAGGTTTATTGCTTCTACGCGACCGCACTACTATCAACCACATTTTGATACTCCGCGCGAGTCCACTTCTAGCGCTAGCATTCAAAAACTGATTGAAAGTTAGTTTAAACACTCTTAACGTTTAAAGTTTTGCATGGAGTATATTTGCTTACATTGATCTTAGTTCCTTCTTGGCGAGTAAATGACGTCATTTCTGGTCGTTACGCTGCAAAGGCAGGTTTAACTCGTGTTCTTAGAACGAGGGACTTTCAAAGACATGTTTCTCGTATGTCTCCCAAGCGGCGGTGTCCAACCCAAAGTGATGTTAAATACGAGGACTTATCAGATGAAGCCTATCATGCTCGTCATGCGCGCTTAGAGACAGAGGAAATCAAACAAGAACGACTGTCTGTTCTTCGACTCGCGGAAGATGAACTTCGTCGACGTCTAGAACAGCGGGAGCGAGACAGTTGGGTAGGATTTCTTTTCCCGATAATTTTTGCTCTTAGCGAAGGCGGCAATCATCGAGGTTGAATGGTTACTTAGAGGATAATCCTGATCGTTTCATGCCCTCTCGACTGGTTGATTCTGTTGACAAGGTTCAGACTATACGCGTTCGAGATGAAGTTCCTGTTATTGCGTTTGGCGTTAAAGTTCCCAAGCCAAGGTATAAGTATGCTTGCTTTTTACTGAAATCATCGATTTTAATTTAGTGTGTTTACCTGTTCGCTTTCATTTTTAGATCCTCATTGCTATAGTGCTTGGGTGCACTTGAGAAATCTGTACTTTCGAATCAGTTTTATTGCTCCCATATTGTCATTATCATTTATTGTCTTGGATGGTGCTTTCTTTTACTCTCGTTTTAAATTGTACTGTCGGTATGTATATATGTCAATAAAACATTTTATCATTAAAGGCAAGTTTGATGTATAAATGGGCTATTAAAAATCTCTTGTTTACTCATGAATCACGTACGCTCTTAAATGATTGGTCGTTTGTGGAGACGGAGTTAAGGTGTTTCTGTTTTCTAATTGGTTGGTTAGGGACGTTTATTCGATTAGGGTTCGTCATCGTTAGTACGTGCTTTGCTGTGTTTTTTAAAAAAGGTTCATTGCAAAAAGTTGTTTTTTCAAATGGCAGGCTTTATGATATTTATCATCAGCCCCTTAGTTGACTTCAGTTTTCCCCATTGGTGTGGAGCGCATATTAAGCAGTTCATTAGCTGTCTTCTTGCCTCCCAATATCTCTGGGTTTCCGTCGTTGTCTTTAGAGCTGGACACCGAAATAGGTGGGTCTTTTTCATTTCCTCCTGTAGGTTACATAGGGGTATGTGGGTTGAGTGGCTAGACACCGAATCAGGTGGGTCTTCTCCATTTCCTCCTTTGAACACCGAATCAGGTGGGTCTTCTCCATTTTCTCCTGTAGAGAATCAGATGGGTCTTCTCCATTTCCTCCTGTAGGTTTCACATCAGGTGGGTCTTCTCCATTTCCTCCTGTAGGTTACAGATCAGATGGGTCTTCTCCATTTCCTCATGTAGGTTACATATGGTGGGTCTTCTCCGTTTCCTCCTGTAGGTCACATAGACAGGTGGGACTTCTCCATTTCCTCCTGTAGGTTACATAGAGTATGTGGGTTGAGTGTATACTCTCAATCTGTGAAGGTGTTTTGATGTAGGTTACATAGGGGTATGTGGGTTGAGTGATACTCCCAATCTGTGAAGGTGTTTTGCCAGGCAATCGTGTCCAGTACGTAGTCTGAACTCAGCAACGGCTTCGATTCTTGGCCTGTCGGCTGTGTCGGAGAGCGCTACTGTTCACTGTTTCTCCTTTGTTCGAGCTNAATTTGCTGTTTAAGCGTATTGGTTCTTTCTTGGGCCTTTCTCTGTTGTTTTGGAGGTTTCTCAGAAATTTGAAAGTGCGTTGTCTATCACTTTGATAGTTTATATTTGAGATGAACTTGTCGAAAGAAGTCCGTTTAGCTTGTAAGATGGCTTGCCTTAGGAAAGCTGTTTGTCGTCTCCAGGCTTTTACGTCTTCCGTTCTTCCAGTCTGATCAGCAGTGTTTCGAAGGGCGTCCCTCTTTCTTTTCAGTTCCTCAAGGTGTTTAGACCAAAACACTCGATAGTGTTTAGTTTTGCCTCTGGGAATAGTTTTCTTTGCACATCTGATCACAATATTCTTGATAGCAGTGCAAAGTTTGTCAGGATGTTGGTTGAAGTTGAGGGGACTTGTGTGAAGTTCATCCTCTAAAAGGTTTGTGAATCTAGGCCAGTCAGCCTTCTTGAAGTTCCATGATAGCTTAGTTGGCACTTTCCTTGACATGCTTTTGCTGCCGATGGTAATACTAGCAATGACTGGTTTGTGACCAGAACCAGGATCGTCAATTATTTTGCGGTGTGTGTGCTCACTGATGTCGCTTGAAGCCAAGAGTAAATCAGGAGTTGTTCTGGATCCATTGTAGTGCAAATATGTAGCCGGATCCTCATTGCTATAAATAAGTTCCAGAATATTGCTGTTTAGCATGTCTTCAATTTCCTTTCCAGCTATGTTTGTATCCTTGTAGCTCCAACTGGTGCAGTGGGCGTTGAAGTCTCCTACTACTATAGTTTTGTGTGAGATGTTCAGAAAGTCAAAGTTTGGACGATTCTGGGGAGGATTATAGACTGCATATATCTTGAATTGGTTTTGACATTTCCAAACATTTAATCTGATTATTTCACATTTGTCTTGTGTCGAGCCCATACTTTTGATTAGGTCGTAGTGTGAGGTGAGGTCTTCTTTTACTCCAGTTAGAATTCCACTTGCAACTTGCCGGTATTTAGGTAGATTGTACAGGGTGTAACCTGGGAATTGGTAATACTTCAGTTTGTCATCCGAAATGTTAGCTTCCATAATTGTGAAAATGTCTACATCATAGGTTTGTAGGATTTTCTGTATTTGGATCTTTTTGACCTGTGATATTCCTCCAGCATTCCACTGAAGGATCTGTAGAAGTTGTGATTCGCTCTGACGAGGGCAATTTCTCTTATAGTATTGTTTCAAGCTAATCATAATAAATCGAAGTCATATCAAATGCCGAGTGATAGACTTTTTGTCGTATGAAGATACGCTGTCCAGGGTGCACCACGTGGAGGTAAGGTTATCATGCAACCCTCACTGCAAAACTAACTGTTCAGAAACTGGGAGATCGTGTGCTTATTTCTATCATCTTTTAGAAAAACCATAAACTTAGTGCAGTTGCTTTTGGAGGGGTGGTTGGATTACTTCCAGGGTATGTGTTTTTTAATTATATGTAGATATCTAATTTTTGTGTTGTATTCCACACTTTCCTTGTTAATACAACGAAAAGGTGGTTGACCCGCCACTGAAATGACGGAAGTATCATCTTTTTTGGCGTTGACAATGCACCTTCAGTTCACTGCATAGCATTGCTTCGCCCTCCTCTCAGGGATGAACGAAATCGGTTGTAATATGTGGGACTTAGATTTCGGAGAGATGTTTCCAAACTAGTTCAAATTATGGAGTACATTTAGACATCAATGAAATGGAAGGGGACACAAAGAATTAACATTGGAAGCAGGAATGGAGTTGTTGAAGCGATTGCTGATTACGCTATCTAAATCAGTTATACTCATAAAATTTTCCAATAAAATTCAATCTTAGAGCCTATTTTTCAATGCGCAAAGACAATTAAATTGCACGGCTAAAAATGGAGTGCTTCTGCAAGTTACGATTGACCATTCCAAAGTTCAGATTCTTTGCATTCCAAAATCTTGCAAAGTTTTGCCTGGTTTAGGTAATGCCTAAAGGCATTTATTAACGCTACCAATTCAAACTGGAGTACTCAAACGAATTGAGTAGTGTTTTACACATAATTAAGAATTAAGGTCTAGAAGTTAGAGTAATAATTGCATATTCTATATGCGGAATAAGTATTTGTTTATATCAACTGGCAGGGTTTATGATAGTTATCATTAGCCCATTTGTTGCCATCGACTTCACGGAGGGGAGGACCAGACGAAGTCACAGGATGTGGAGAGCTTCACAGAAGGAAGGTTCATCAAAGTAGCAGAAAGTCCAAGGGTTGGAACAGAAGAGTGATTCACAGATGTAAAAGAGGCAGACACAAAGTAGAAATAAAGGTAAGATTATTACTGTGAGAGTGGTGGAATATAACATGCAGTTGGGTAATAGTAGTTTGGTGTTAGAAGTCAATTGCCAGTTTATAGACTTGCCGTATGAGCTTACGTTGCCGTGGATGGACCACGAGGAGGTAAGCTTATCGCTCACCCCATACGAAAAAGATTATTTTCGTAGTTACAAGGGAATGTGGAATGTCGAAAATGTTTGCCCAAGCATGACTTTTTTCATCGCGCTCATTGTCAATAATCCCACAGCGTCCGGGGATCCATCGAAGAAATATTTCTGGCTTTTTCTGAGAGTATAAACTCAGATTTTGCACTCGTGTATCTCAGCTGTTTTGAATGATTATCTGTTTCCAATTGACTGCGAGTCCGAAATAATTACTGAGCTGGCGCATTTCGTATACAGTCACCACAATTGGCCTAATGCTATCTTAATGACCTCTATTTCTTCTTCGAAAGCGGATCTATTTTTAGTACAGAGTAAGCACATGCACCAACATTTGCTTGGTTTTCCACGTGTGACTCGTCGGTAAAGACCTGGAGCCATTGACCTACAGGTTTACACTGATTTTCCAAATGTCAACAATCGCATTTGATCTGGTGGAGTGTCTGATTTCATATAATGGTCAAGAAGTTGAGTGCAAAAGTGTACTTCGTTATCTACTAATGGGTTTTCAGAAATGGTTCGTTAGTAGTTTGTAATATTTTCTTCAATTCTGTTGGTTTCTGCTTTAGGCCAACTCGCGTTTTTAGATGCTCCAGAATGTGATGCTGGGAATGCGCAGTACTTTCTCACAGAGGGTCAAGTACTTCTCCCCGATCGATGAATGTATTGTGGTGAATCCTGTGACCAGGAGCATTGAAACAATAATTGCTTATTTTATCCCTCCAATAATTAGTCGAAATGCCTGGTTGTGTCTCTTCTCAAGTGGTTTGGGAATCACCTCAGAGGCTCTAATGAGTGACTCGCAGCAATACAACATTATTGGTTTAGGGCTGAGCGTGCTGCCATCGAGGCCCTTCAGTACGTTCAGTCTATTGGAGGCCCGTTCTGCTACTTTGAAGTTTTATTTTTCCATGTTATTTTGGTGTCAAGTGTCACTCCGGGATTAGTGGACAAGTGGGTTTGTTCTAGAGAAGTATTCTTGTATATCAAATGTGAAATTTTTGCCGTGGTGAGCCAATGATAATGCTTGGTAGGCAGTTTTCAATGTGATGATAACAATACCATTGATTCTCGCATCAGTTTGCTGATAGCTTAAATGCATGATTTTGGCACTTTAAGCCCTCTTGTGAGTGTTCTTCTTGGGGGCGGGGGGTGGAATGCCACAGTACATGATCATCTCCATAAAGAAAGCACCTGTTGCCCGTGACTGTCCATACCAGTTCAGCGATGTCATTGATGAAGAAGTTGAAAAGAGAGCAGCTTATGACAGCTCCCTGTGATGTTATTACTAATAAACACATTTCAACTATTAGAATTCACATCACTTTCTACGTTTGGCCCAATTGATGAAAAAATCACCACGCGATGTTTTGAAATTACTTCGATAACCATGTGAAATAGTTCAAGTCCCACTTTGGTGGGCATTTTATCCCGATGGACATTTTAC